GCAAAAACTGAAATATTTAACTAACTACAAAGGCTAAAATGCCCAAAAATTATATTTAGAATTTCCCTATAACAAGGAATTATAAACTGACAGAAATGGACTTAAAAATAAATATATATTTTTTTAATTATGGGCGTAGAAAATATTGGTAAAAAAGTCAAGTTGGGTCAACAAAATTCCGTTATAAGTTCAATATTTCTTGCTCTATTTACAAAAATGGGATACCATTGGAAATGTAATGAATCAGGCTTTCTCTATTCAAAGCAAAAATACAAGAATTTGTCTCGGCCGAGATAAAATGCAAATGAATTACTCGAAGAAAATGAAATTCCCAGTAGGCCAGAAAAAAGAAAATTTCATCAAAACCTGCACTTTCCAGCAGCTAAAATTGTGTTGTTTAAAGTCTAGGAGGAGTGGCAAATAAACTGAGATACAAACTTTATCGAATAGTGGCGGATAACGAGTTTTCGGGTCTAATAAAAATAATAATTTGCTCAAAATAAGTCTAAGTCAACATCGTTTTACTTTAACATGAAATACTCAGTCCTAGTTTACTAAATTCCCAAAAGTGTATATTCATTAAAAACATCATACCTAAAAAAAATAAGACCAAAATGATATTTTAGCAATTGTTGCATAAATCACATAACACCGACAAATTAAACATTGAGATTCAGTTTCAAATATACAAGTTTAAATATTATTGCGCTCAGTAATTTTCCAAATCAAACCCCGTCTCGCCATACACTTTGATTTAAATCTTTTAGTTGTTATTGTTTCGTCTTTATCAGGCATTTCTAAAAACATTCTTGACGTTGTTTTGAAATTTGGCGACATAAAATAATATAATTAATATTTTCTAGAATATGGAAATGATACACTGTGCGACCAATATTGACAAAATATAGAGATACCAGCCAAAAAAATGTAACTTTAGCTTTCAGACGGTCCGGACGTGTTTTCTTTCGCTCTGTGCTTTATGGTTAATATGATATATCGCTCGCAATAATGAGTTTGTGTACTAATTGTGCGGCCAATTGTAGGCTTAAAGATAAAATTCTAAACGCGATTTCGGACTTGGACAGATTAAAAAGCACTTTTATAGCATTAATTGAGTCAGTAAATGATAATACTAACTTGCCGGCTCCTGGTATAATTGAAAACAAACGTATTACTCGTTCAAAACATAAAGCTAGTGAAGGTGTTGTTGCTCAACCATCTAAAATGCAAAAGCACACTCAAATGCCCTCATCTAAATCTGTTGCTGCTAATAGCCTAACAGCTGGGAATGCGCCTGATAATAATACCGGTTTAATAACTACTCCTGGTGGTAATACTGGTATTTCTGCTTTTTTGCCTTCTTCTTCGGAGACATCGTCTGCTGTGAATCAGCCAGTTCTAATGCGAACGCACACTCACATGCACGCTTCATCTGTGCCGCCTAATGATGCTGTTGGTACTGCTAACAATCTAGTAGTTGATAAGATCACAGAAATGCATTGTGTTTCTGATGCGCCGGGTATTAATGCCGGTTTTTCAATTACACCTGCTAGTAATACCGGTTTGTCTGCTGTTGCTTCTTCTTTTCCTTCGCCTACCACGCCTGTTGACACGTTGCCGGCTGCATTTGCCAACTCATGCTCTTTGCCTGCGCCGCCCGCGTGCGCTCCTGATGCTGCTTCGTCGTATGCCGCTGCTATGGCTCAAGAATGATAGAATACAAGATTGCGCCAATCGAGCTGAGAGCAACTGGCCGTGACGTCAATAAATACCAGAATGAGAGAGCAAAGACGAATTCAATAAGAAAAAGAAGAAGAATCGAACAGCTGGGGCGAAATTGAAATGTCTGTTTACAAAGTGCATAATAAATCGCGGATTTACGGAATTATTTAGTTTTAAATGGTAAATTGGTTGTTTAAAAGTAAAGAATGTATACTTATTAAATGCAATGCAAATCGCTGAAAGTGTTAAATCACTGCAATCATTATAATGATTTGCATTTTGTCAGTAATTGAACAAATACCAGCGGGCAGCCAGCGGGTCAGTTGCTGGTAACAATTTGCAGAACGATTCCACGGTGATCGTTGCATCGTCGTCAATTAGTGAAATCAGTAACCAAGCTTTTAAAATAAAGGAAAACCTCCTACTCCGCTATACAAACGCTGGACCAAGCCTGCAAATTATTGCCAGCAACTGGAACGCTGGCTGCCCACTGGCATTTGTTCAACTACTTAAAAATTCACTTTGTCAACAAACCTTCACACACATCAAGCGGCTCATCTGGATGAAATGAATGAGTTGGAAATGGCGCAGCTTATCATACGCCAGTTGTCGGATAAGGCCAATGTAAACCAAGGCGGCAATCGTATAGAAACCTTGACGTAGACGCAATTTATGTACGAGGAACAGATTAGAGACTTACAAGTAAGTTAGAAGTAGAAGTGCCTTTGAAGATGTTTACATTATTATGTTTACGCATTTCTTACAGTCTATGGTGCAGGAATTTATGATGGTCACAAAATATATTGGCAAAAACATAGCAAGTGCATATGCCAAGTTGGAAAAATTGATAATGCGTGAGTATAAAATGAAAAGGTGTTCTTAATTATAAATATTACTTTACCTTTTCTTTTGCAGTGGCCAAAGAGAAGAGTCTTTTTGATGATCGACCGCAAGAGATTCAAGAATTGACTTACATCATGGTGTATGCGTTACAATCTAAATTAGCCAGCATGGGCACCGACTTCAAACAGTTGTATACTGTCGTACTGTTGTATTTCAGAAACTTTAAACGGCTAAAGCTATATATAAGGAATTCGCAAGCTAACATAAAAGTTTTATTATGAAATTTCACACAATTAAAAAATTTTTGGTGGTGATTTATGCAACCTCACAAACGCGTTTTAAACGACGACTTGCAAAGGGCGCTATGTAAAATTTGTTCGATTTTTAGTTTTCGATGGATTACGTACCAGTATTTAAAGTAGTTTCATGTCCAGTAACAACAGAGTGCAAAATCTTTTTATATTCTGAAAAAATAGCATCAAATGTTAAGTCTTCTTCCAAAAGTCGCTATCATACTTATTTATAAACTTTCAAAAGTATCTATCTTCTGATGAACTTAGAGAACTGCTTTAGGTCGTATAGACTGTTAATGTTATCTTATGACATGTTATGTTACGTTACAATTTTATAAGGCTCTTTTTTATCCAAATTTTTAGGTAATAAAAAAGACTAAATTTAAATGCTACTTGTTGTCGTAGTCGTTTTTTCAAATTTATGGCTTTCTATTATAACATCACATAACGCTGTTTGCAAGTGGACTACTCATATGTACATTTCTTATTCGTTATCACGACAGTCAAGAATTGATCTCTTTGTTAATTTTTTGCGGCCCTGAAAAGGGCCTTTTATGTATATATGGTATTGTGTATGTAGACCCAGATAAGCTTATATAAAGCATTTGATCCCTTTGTAAATTCTTTGCGGGCCTGAAAAGGGCCCTTTATGTATACAAACACAGGGAAGCTAATGTTTGCAAAAAATTTGATCACTTTAGCAGTTCGTGGCGGCCCTGAAAAGGGCCTTTTGGTGTATCAAGAGCATTTACCTGTAATTAAATGAATTTATATTGCTATGCAATTAATGAACCATTTCCTTACGGGAGGCATTCTACGCATTCATCTTAGGTATATTTCACTTCTGATCACATGAGTGCACGTACTCCACATGTTGATGTTGACCCTAAAGCTAGCAAGAAAAGAATTTTGGTAATGTTTTTACAATATGTAAATTTATAGCTCACTATGTCATTTTATTTATATAAAAATATAAAATTTATTCACTTACCAGGCCTGCTGCATACCTTGCTTATTTGTTGATGGTACCAAATGCACTTAAGTCAATATTTTTTTATATTTCCTTTTTTTACTGTGGGCATTTTCTATGAGTTCTTTCTTTAGTTTTCTTATTTTAAAGAACATTCTTGCCCTGAAAAATAATTTTTTTACCTTAATATCGCAATGAATATTCGAGGCTTGCTCAATGTGTTTTTTTACAAAGTCGTTTGTAATAAGCAAGCCATCTTCATTCATTGCTTGAAACACTGACTCTAAGTGACGCATTTGGTCCATCATTGCAGAGCTGGGTACTTTCAAGCCACCCTCGCTCAAGTGACTTGCCCATGAAAACGACGGGTCGTCATTGCTCCTGAGCGATGTGCTGGGGATGTCATCCTGGAGTCTGTGACAAATATACCCGGCTAAATGCTCGAGGCCATCATGCTCCAAGTCGCTGAACTCAGCTTCTTCAACCGGCCATAGTTCCGGGCCTTCTTGCAAATTTTGCAGGAATATACCTGATAATAAAATATGTCGTATAATATATAATGATAATATAATAGAATATAATATGTCATATAATATATTTTAATTGGAGAATATAATTTTTGAAGAACCTGTGAGTGGGGGTTGCGTCATTTCCAAGTCCGGCGTATCATCCTCCTCTACATTCGCAGAGTCTGACAAAACGCCTTTGTTGTGGCCAAGCAGATAAAGTCTGAGGCGGTACTTAAACTCCTGCTGGTCCGGGTGATCATGCAACCCACCTTTTGAACGAATCACACCAAAGAAGTTTTCCAAGACATCTTGGTTGAGGCGATATGTTAATACATACTTAACATCGAAGCGAGATTTGATCTCATCAAACATCATCTTCAATGCATTATTGCTTTGTATGATTCCTGAAAGGTAAAAAACAAGTACTTATGTATATATACATACATATATATTTAAGGGGTTTGAAACAAAATAGAATTGAATATTTTTAATAGTTTTCATATAAGTTTCTAAGTTTACCTTTCTAAAGTGGAAGAAGGGACTGCCTTCCAATTACCCTCATAGTTTTAACCAAAGCAGTCATTTGATCCAAAATGTTGTCCTGCTCTTCCTTCGCTAAGCCATAAGCGTGACACCGTTTCCTTGAGTCAGCGTGAGGCACCCTCACGTTGAGCACATCAAACAAGTCATTTGTCTAAAATGTGAACAATTGGGAGATAAATGTACGGTATGCCTTTCCGTCCAAGTTGGCCTCTTCGTGCCTTTTTTCATCTTGCTGATCTGACCAGCAGAGAAAATTTTTGCCAACTTTTCTTCTACACTTGCCAACTCCATCCTCACCTCCGACAAGCTCTTACGCAATGACTCCACTTCCCAGTCATGCCTTTTCTGCTGCAAATGCGCTTCTCGCTTTAAAGCCGCAATCTCGCTTTGTTGCCTGCTGTGTTCGCTTTTGAGAAAAGCGTTTTCGCGTAATGAAGCTCGTCTACATAAATACGTATAAACAACAAAAAATTTAATATGGTTTTTATATAGATATATATATATATGTATGTATGTAGATTTAATTAAACTTTGAACTTACAATTTTTCTTGCAGATCCTCAACCTCTTTAAGCGTGCTATCATAGTTAAACACCTTGCTAGGTGTTGTGGCACGATGTGGGGAACACAGAGGCGTCAAGGCATCTGGCAATATGCCACAGTTCTCCTCGTCCGCGCGGTTATGGCCCATAAGACCTTCGGCTTCTGAAATTTACTTTTTTATAACTAGGAGAACTTCAACTATATAAACTTGTAATGCCTTTGGAAGTGGACTGCTCCAGTAGATCGCTCACAATGGTTTTGTACACTTGCTGCTGGGCTTCCTTGTCAGGATCTGGCATTTCCGCAGCAGGCTTGAAAATTGTCGGCACAACGCCCCGCTTTAGTTTACGCTTTTTAGCGTAGCCTAACACAATTTAAAACATTTCTTTTAATAAAAAGCAGTATTAATGAAAAGTGAAAAATATAAGCTTCCGGGGGGTTTCATATTTACGATGAGCGCGGCTACCTTTCGTGAAATTTACTCCTGAGTCACACCACCCTCACGAAATCCAATAAGCGTTTATTGGCGAATTAAATAGTATAACTTACCCATTTTATATTGAAGCTCGTTCTCGAAGTCATCAGTGGTGAAGTGTTTTACACAGATGACGCTGGTTCGGGCGTTGAAAATCGTTGGTCTCCGGCAGAACTGGATCCACTTTTCCACCAACTCAATGTCGGCCGGAAAAGTAAAAAAAGCGCACCCAGATCCTTTGGCACTTACACCAGCACAATTAACCACTGCACACCTCATTTTTTTTCTTTAATTTATAACTTTTTTTTATCAGTTTTCACAAAAAAACAAAACAACGCTCAAAGTCTTCCGAATTTGTAAATTTGTAATGTTGAAATAACCTAAAACGTCACGAACCAGAAAATGTAAACAAAAGTATTGTGTGACGTCAGCGAATGGGTGGATGCTGTCAAATCGACGAAGAGAGGGTTAGCGGTCCGCGAATGGCACTCATAAAAAACAAAGGCTTTGTGTATTTGGAACTAACGATAACTCTGAGCTGGGAGTTGTTCTTCATCACAAATGGCTTCATATTTCTTCGTTTTTGCCTTCCGTTAATACGGAGAACATCATTGAATAAGTCGCCAAACATGCGGCTATCAATAGGAATGAGATCTTGTGCTATAAGCTTCTTAAGAAAAATACTAATTCGAAGGAAATTAAATACATAAATTTCAAGCTTGGAGTTCCAGAACGTCAATATCATAATCATCAAATATTTGGCATTCAAATGTTTCTATCCGACCATTTGATTTTTTTCAAAAAGGTCGTCAGCCTCAGCCCAAGAAGTAAAAAACCCTTCTGCTTCTGGTGCCCGCAAAACAAGCATTTATTATCAAAATACTTCGGGACTCAGAACCAAATCTGAATCCGTTTACGTTTTGAGTTCGCAACTGGATTACGACTGTTTCGTCCTAACCGAGACTTGGCTAAATGTTAACTTTTTTGATGCGGAGTTCTTCAACACAGCTCTCTTTGACGTTTTTCGCAAGGATAGAGATTTTGCTAAAACTGGTGTTAGTAGGGGTGGTGGTGTGCTTATTGCTACACGCAGCTATCTTCGTGCTTCTTTTTATGAGCTACCGGGTTCCAATTCCGTGCTGGATCAACTTTGCGTAAAATTACAAGGTGCGTGTGGTGTGCTGTATATTTGCGTGTCCTAAGGCACATATTGACAATATCCTAGCACTTCACGTGAAAATTGGTGACAGTCAACTTTGTGTCTTAGGCGATTTCAATTTAGGTAATATTTCTTGGAGCTTTATGGATAATAATAATTTTCTCACTCCATGTAATGTTAATAGTTTATGCGAATCTTACGTAATTGATAACTTGCTATGTATTGAATTGTCACAGATCAATGGTTTTCTAAATGNACTTGCTATGTATTGAATTGTCACAGATCAATGGTTCTCTAAATGAACTTAATCGAATTTTAGATTTAATATTTGTTAGCTCTAATATTAATTTTAAGCTCTCATCATAGTCCACTGGTGTTGGAAATGGAATTTTTTTAAATATTTTGAACTCCCAGGTAGTAGTAAAACAGTTGCTTTTAACTACTCGCGTTGTAATTTTGTGGAATTAAATAATTTGTTTGAGTTGGATTGGTCTCGGCAATTTGAAAATGTGGATGTAGCTGGCTGTTACGATATTTTTAAATCTATTATAGTTGACACTTGCGTGAGTCACATCCCGATGTTAAGTGCTAAACCTTCGAAGCGGCCGTGGTTCTCTAGAGAACTCAAACGACTAAGGAACTTGAAGAATAAGTTTTATAAAAAGCAAAAGCATTCTAATGTTGTTAATTTTCGTGAGCGGTATGTGTCTTACAGTGGTAAATTCAACAAACTCAACAAGTCTTTGCATCGAAATTATATTCGTAATATAGAAAGTAATATTAAATGTAACCCCAAGGCCTTTTGGAGTTACATAAAAGCTAAGAAAAACTGCTCAAATATACCTGCGTCGGTTCATCTTAAAGGGGTTTCAGCTAATTCCATCTCTGATGCTGCTTATCTGTTTGCCAAATTTTTTTCTTCGAATTTTATTTCAGGCAATGCTGATCATGGCTTTTCATTGGCTCGTGGCTTTGAAGATCTCCTGTTTAATTCAGATACTTCCATCAACTTCGGGAAATTAGATTTGACTGTCGAAGATGTCATTGATGGCATTAATCAGCTTAAGCCATCCACTAATACAGATATTGATGGCTTATCGGTCGTTCTAATTAAAAGTTGTCCTGCCTTGATTAAGCCTCTATGGCACATCTTCAACATGTCACTTGTTGCTGGAGTCTTCCTTGATGACTGGAAATTGACTTTTATTACGCCTATCCTTAAAAGTGGCAATAAAAATGATATTGAGAATTATAGGCCAATTTCCAAGCTAACCACAGTTTCTAAATTGTTTGAGTGCATAGTTAGGACAAAATATACTTTGCCGTCAAACATATGATATGTCCTAATCAACATNCTTCAACATGTCACTTGTTGCTGGAGTCTTCCTTGATGACTGAAAATTGACTTTTATTACGCCTATCCTTAAAAGTGGCAATAAAAATGATATTGAGAATTATAGGCCAATTTCCAAGCTAACCACAGTTTCTAAATTGTTTGAGTGCATAGTTAGGACAAAATATACTTTGCCGTCAAACATATGATATGTCCTAATCAACATGGCTTTGTTCCGGGCAGATCTACCTTAACTAATTTATCTGCCTTTACGGAGGATTGTCTGGATACCTTTCAAAGGGGTTTTCAAATGCATGCAATCTACGCAGATTTTTCTAAGGCTTTTGATAGGGTATCTCACCCAATGTTGATAGCTAAACTTGAGCGTCTAGGCTTTCACTCCCAATTTCTAAAGTGGATAACTTCCTATTTAGATTACAGACAATGTGTCGTTCGACTCGATAATGTATCGTCTTACTCTTTTGTTGCTTCTTCTGGTGTTCCCCAGGGTAGTGTCCTAGGCCCGTTACTTTTTGTCCTTTTCATTAATGATATTTCCTCATGTTTTTCCAAGTGTAATTATCTTCTATACGCGGATGACCTGAAGATTTATTATGAAATTAAATGTTCAGAAGATTCAACCATTCTCCAGTGTGAGTTGGATAACTTATATAGTTGGTGTGTGCGTAATCGTTTGTTCCTCAACATTAGTAAATGTCACTATTCTTCTTATGCGAAAGTTTTCAGTATTGTTCCAACATCTTACTGCATCTCAAACTCGCCGCTAAAGATAATAAGTGAATGTAAAGACCTGGGCGTCTATTTTGACTCCAAGCTCAACTTCACAACTCACATAAATTATATTGTTTCTAAATCGTTCGCTATGTTGGCCTTTATTCGTCGAAACTGTTCTTCGTTTTCTCATCCCTATACTCTCAAACTGTTGTACTCGTCCTTAGTTCGGTCCAGGTTAGAATACGCGGTATTCGTTTGGAGACCGTTTCATGCAGTCCATGTTAATAGATTAGAGTCTGTTCAGCGAGCTTTTGTGCGCTTTGCTTTGCGCTCGATGAATTTTATAGATCCCATTCCATCCTATCGCTCTCGTTGCTTACTAATAAACCTCATGTCCTTAGAGTCTAGGCGTGCTATGTTGTCGATGTGTTTTGTCTTTGATATGTGTGCGGGATCAATAGATTGTCCGTACCTGCTCATGAAAATTAATTTTAATGTTCCCTCACGCATTCTCCGCTGTAATGAATTGTTTTTCGTGGGTATAGCTAAAACTGTCTATGGGATGAATGCTCCTTTTAGGAGGACAGTTTAATGCGTATTCTTCTTCCTTAGACTTTGATTTCTCATACTCTAGGTCTACTTTTAAGAATCTACTTGTAAGGCTCTTGTCATAAGGTATTTGTATTTAACTATCATATAGTCTGTAAACATCCTGTTTGTTGTTGATTAATAATAAATAAATAAATAAATAAAAACGCTGAGAGCTTTTACAGCTACGCCGTCGTACGTTCGAAAAGAAAATAGCACAGAAAAGTGTAAAAAGTACGTAATCACCCAAACCCGTTGGCTAAGGCCTTGTGTAATACAGTAAACCTCACGTGCCTTCGAAGAAGATACCTGCCAGCCTTATGATGAGCATTAAACTAAAAGGGCTCAAACCCAGGGTTTGAGTCATCATATTATTAATTAGAGTTAAGATTTTAAAACTTGTTATTAAGCTCAACATAACAAAAGCAGATTCAACAAATAAATAAATGTATAAAAAATATAAAAATCAGCGGTAATTCTTAGCCACTTAAAACTTGCACTAAAATTTATCACACAATGGACAGATTTTGAGATTTTCTGCAGGGATATTTTTTAATTCGCTTGTAAGTATGTATATTAATATGTGTATGTACATATGTATTTGGTATTTGAAGCCATATAACAAGTTTTCAATTACAGTGGACATATTCAATTTCCTTTGTTCCCATTGTACTGATTCACAGTCAAAATAGTCAAGGCCTTCCTCAATTGATAAATCTGCTTTCATTTGAAATTCTATCCCGTAGAGATTTTCAAATCAATCTTAACATGAGTTCGCACATACGTTCATACATGCATTTATGTACATTTGACTGAGCCTTATTTTGCTACTTTGTTCTAAAAGCAGAAAAGTTCATTTGGTCATAAAAACGTGACCTGCGAAACATTTTTTAAATCGGGTAACGGAAAGACGTGCCTCAAAGACCCTAAAGTTAAGCACATTCATGGAATTTTTCATAAAATGATCAAAATAAGTCAGTGGAACATTTGATATATTTTAATGCCACTTGATGTACTTTTGTTCCCCCATGTCAAAATATAGCCACAATATTTTTAAACCTCCCCAACTTTTGAAGTTATTGAGGTTTTTTCCCACGTAAAATTACTATTTTCTAGGTTTTGAGCAAATAAGTTTTAGCACTATAAACTTAGATCAAATTGGTACTAAGAAAAGAAATTGTAGTAGCCGACTTTTGATGCAGTTTACTTTTATTAGACATGTAGAGCATGGATCTTAAGTCTCGCCCCTAAATTTCAATGGGAACATTCCGCCATCTCAAATTTTATGTTTTCGGGTTTTTTTTTTAATACAAATTTGTAGAGAATTTAATTTCCATTTTTTTATTTTATTATAATTTTTTTTATTGTAATAATTAGCAAAAAGTGTGAAAAATTTTTACATTGCCACGGCTTTCGCCATTTTTCAACAACTTCTCTTGAAAATACGTAGCATATTCAAATGCCAATTTTGTAGAAAAT